AGACGTGTGCTCTTCCGATCTCCCCAAAACCCCAAAACCCCAAAACCCCGAGAAATAGTTAAAAAGTGAGTAAGGTGAAATGTTTTATAAATAACTACAATTAATGATTGAATGAATACATTATTATATTGTTTTAGAATTTCATTTTATTTTCAAGAATCTTCTTCTTCAACATTTTATTCATCATCTTCTTCTCTGTATCCGAATCTAATCTCTAAATGTTTTTAAACTTCATCTACGAGTTTCTAGAATTCTATTAAACATCCATTCTTCTTTATAAAGTCAATGTTGAAGACATCATCATCACCATATCTAGTAATCAAGAGCTTGATGCTGGCTTTTTCAGCAATATCTAGAGTTGCCTTGTAATCTTCCTCATATTAATAGAACTTGACTTCTTCTGTATCTGATTTCTTGTCAGCAAAGTCTTATAAAAGTTCCATGATAGTATCTGGGTTCTCAGCAATCATCATTTTATGACATGGGACCAATGGCTTTTGGTACTTATCAATCTGGTAAAGTAGCTCGAAGCGTGGCTCTTCAAGTTCCTCCTTCTCATCCTCTTCTGGTTCATCAGTTGCAATACCTCTCTTTCTATCATTATAACCTCCCTTATTCTGGGCTTATCTTTGCTTTTGCTGTTACTTGATTGCTCTTTCCCTTTCGGCTTCATCGTCATTGACTGATTTTCTTTATTTGAATTCCTCTTGAACTTCTTGGTAAGTAGCTGATTAACTTGTAAACCAAGGGTGAGATCTGATTTGATCAACAGTCAATCTATCTGCTGGATCATAGGCAAGCATTCTTTGGATGAGATCTTTAAATTCATCTGAGAAGAAATTAGGGCTTGGCTTGCCCTTCATATGATATTTCCAAAACATGTCCCATTTCTTGTTTACAATTAGCTTATAGTAGAATTCTGATTTGTCAGCCAATGAGAAGGGTGGGGTTCCAGCAATGGTGATGAAGAGTACAATACCGCAGGCAAAAAGATCAACTGCTTCGCCAGAGTATGGCTTTCTCTCATTGATTTCAGGGGCCTGATAGGGAACAGTTCCTAATTTAGTGGTTAAACTGCCTGTGCCAGTTCTACCAGCAATAGGACCAGCGAATCCGAAGTCTGCAATCTTGATATTGAAGTTTGAATCTAGGAGAATATTGTCAGGCTTAATGTCTCTATGGGCGTAACCGGCTTTGTGGACATAATCGATAGCATCAATGATCTATCTAAAGAAGTATCTTGCAAAATGCTCAGCGAAATAGCCAGTATTCTTTACAAAGTAGAAGAGCTCACCACCCTCAGCTAAGTCTTCAACAATAACGCATACAACTGGGTAAGCTTTTCCACAAGACTTAGTAAGATGAGCTCTAGCATAATAGTCTACAATGTTGATAATGCCTGGATGGCTGAGAGCCTTAATAGCAACTACCTCATTTTGAATGACATCAATGCTGGCTTAATCAAGTTTTGGATCATCCAATCGGTGGATCTTGACTGCATATCTCTCTCCAGTCTCCTCGACTACTCCGAGTTTAACCCTTGAGAAGGCACCCTGTCCTAAGGTTCTTTATAAAGTGTATTTTCCAAGTTTAGAAGGCATTGTTTGAGTAAAGTTATGTTTTAATTAATATCTTATTAAATGTTTTTTATAAATACCTCCTACATTCGAACTTCCAAATCATACTATTTTATCAGAATCATGGGGTTTTGGGGTTTTGGGGTTTTGGGGTTTTGGGGTTTTGGGG